GGGTTTATTGTATTTTATTTAATATTATTTCTAGATTTTATTAGAAATAATGTTCCCTATTAAATGGTAATGAAATTAAAAATCTTTTGAAAACCAGTATCTGCACAAGTTCAGCGATGCTTATGATGATTAATGGTTCAGAAGGATTCCCAAAGTGGCATAGCAGAATTGTCCTGCACAAGGCAGTGGAAAGTGGGACTGCAGAGCTGAAAGCTGCAGGGATACAGCAGCTGAGTCATCCTCTATGTGTGAGGGCTGCAGCTACAGAAAATCCATGTTGCTTTGTTCTTTCAGGTCCCAATTCCCATGTCAAGTCATGTTATGCTCAGGGCAAGATTGGAGAGTTAAAGCCAGTAACTCACCCTTTTGTCTGACTTTTATTTTCAGGCTGCTGGGAAAGGGTCTAATTTAGAGAAAGAAGTTTCAGATATGATTCAGACTACTTTTGCTAAAACTTTTCTATAATGGTGAAACAGCCTCACTAGAAATAACATGACAAGTTTTTTATAGGTGTTACTAAATGCCAAAGGATGATAATTTTAGCCATAAAAACACTTGATGTTTGAACTGAGATTCTCTCTCAAGCTGTTGTAGACAATTAAAACCAAGGGGTGCCCTTTAAAAGGGGAAAAGAAATTTAGCTCATTAAAATGTCATTTTAGGTGTCAAGATGTTTCTGTGTGGTTCACTATGAAATACACCATTTCCACTTCCTATATTATAAATTATCTATATTGAGGTATTTAATAAGGAATCATCTAGCAGAAAATATTTACTCCTGTCAGTCATAGCCTGGCAACTTTCTCAGCAAGTTTCATAGGCACAGAAATGGAGAGTATTGAAAGAGAGAATTTTGCTTTCATATAAAAGGTCATCAAATTCTCTGCTCAGTATCTCACTGAGAGTTTATAGAGCATCACCTTTTGTCCCTGAACTATTATATCCCAAACCAGGGGATGCTGAAGAAACAGCTGACAAAATGTCATCCAAAATGACATAGCATGGCCACACAGAAACTAGAATGACACACCATCACCTAGAATCTGTTCAGGGGACAGCCTGAGAACTCAGAAAGCTAAGATAAAAACTATGCCAGTGTCCTTCTCTTGCATAAGAACAAACAGTTCTGAATTTGCTCAAGAGATTTTGCCTCTTCACTTCTCCATTTTGACTCATTTTCTGTTATTGCCTGTTGTCCAACTCCCAGCTCACATGAACAATTCCTACAAGACAGATTTTACTTTCCCTGACCCTAATCAGAAGAAATGCCCTGGCTACGGCTAAACTTTATATTTCACATACAGAAAATGCATCTTCCATATTCTTACAGATGTCTGTGTGACTATGCAGAACGTTTCTATTGCAGGCAAGCATAACTTGTGAGAAGAACTCATCTGGAGATAACACTGCATACATGATGTTGACCTTGGCATTTGGTAACCAAATTTTTGCAAACAAAATAATTTGTAAAACTGATTGTATTTCATGCTTTCAGAGACAGTTGAGATGCTTTTGGGTGCCAGATCCTTCATAGTTGCAAAGCACAGGATGATGTAACAAGGAATTACTTCAATTCTCAGACCCAAATTGTACATCTCAGCACTTCTGAACCTTTTCTGGAATTCAAACACAAATCTAAATTGTAACTTTCACTCCTACCCTCCTACCAATAAAACACCAGATCTGAACAGCCTTGGTACATCCAGATACGCTTCATCCATCCTGGCATTATAGAATTAATGATGTTCCTGGATAAGACTTCAGAACATTTGCTCATGTGTGGCACTCAAGGCCTGCCCACAACCAGCAGTAACAGGCAGGCCAAAGAGCTCCAGCTTTTACCTTTCTGGTGTCTGCCTGGGGCTTGAGGAGGATAGGACCTGGGGATGGTCACAAGCCACCATCTGCATGTTTGTGAAGCCAAGCACAGGGCTGCCTGGCACAAAAGTCTCCAGAAGCCATAAGAGTCCTGGAGTTAAGTGGAACCTTCCCCTGGGACTGGGTTTACGGCCCTGCCTCTGGTAAGGTGAAGCCAGAGTGCAGCCCTGCCCCTTAGGAGACTCACTGGTGAAGTAAGCAGAATTCAATATCCCTTGGATCTTACTGAGTTAGAGCAATCCTAAATGACCTGAAATTTTTCAAACATTGCTTTCTCATCCTTAATTTTCAGACAGATAATGAAATTAGAAAGATGATAAGAGTCATTTCAAGGGAAGTGAACCAGCAGACAGAACAAACTAAAAACTTCTTTCCTCCTCTGCGCTAGTGGACTTTGGCTCATTCCTGCAAATCCAGCAGAGTCCAACAGATATGCAAATATGTATACTCAAAATTTACATTCACACAGCCATGCTTCCATTCATAGCCATGGCAATCTTGAATTCTGGTGGCCAGATTGATTTTGAGTTGTCTTACTGTGCATAAAATCTCAGAAAGTATCAGGGAATGATACATGCATTGTTGTGTATGTAGACATTGGCATGCAATTCCAAAAGCCTGTGTCTGCATGACCTGTGGATGTCTGCATGATTGACTAGCTTTCAAGAGTCTCTGCAATCAACATCCATGCTTACCTTACCTATAAGTTTGAATTGCAAAAATATTTAGGATTTTGTGAAAGCTCAGGGAAAGCATTGCTGGTACAATCAGTGTATCTCATTTCCAGCATGCAAAATCTTCTATCTGCAATGGCCCACTCAGCAGCCCACAGGCTGACACTAAAAAGTTGAATATGTTTTGCAATTCACATTAATTATTTTGCAGCATTTTCTTTGAAAATTTACTGTGAAGTCTAGACACAATTTTATTTTTCATATCTATATGCCCAGACAACATAAAAGATTTTTTTAAAAAATGCCTATAGTTTAGTTACATTTCACTTTAGTCTAGAAATGCAGAGAGCCCATGTTTTCTTTTCATCAATAAAAGGGATAGCAAATTTCCAACAGAGTACTTGAAAGGAAATAAACCAAATAATTCAAAATACTTGTTTAAAAAGTTACAAAATATGACAGCATTAATGGCACTTAAAGCTATAAGCACTTAAAAAATTACCACAATATTTTTTTTCTAAATTTTTTTCTTTCTTTGTTTTTTTTTTCTGAGATTATGACAGCAGCTTATGTCTAAATCAAACCCAAAAGGAAGCACAGAGCCCTGAGATTCTATGGTAGCCCTGGCCCTCATGTGAATCATGTATATGCTCTTATGTCTATTTTTAAAAATTCAGATTCAGCTAGAGAACAGCAGTTTGCTGACATGCAAAAGCTATAGCTTCCCTTCTGTCCTTGTAGTCTTACAGCATTAAAATAGAAGGGTTTTTTTTCAGTGGTAGAAAATGTGAATGAGAAATTCTTTAAAAAAAAAAAAAGTTGGCCCACTGTTTTATACTTTTAGCCAAATATCATTAAATTGATGTTTCTCTTCTTTCAAACAACATGGCATGAGATGTTGTATTTTCTTCATATGCACTTTCTTGATGTGACTTTACATTTAATTTTCCTACATGAGAAAAAATCTGTTTCTTTTCTTTTTTTTTGTTTTTTTTTCATTGCTCAAGATAAATACCCAAACAATTTTTTGTTTTGTTTTGTATTTTTCTTTTTTTTTTCTTTTTTTTTTTTTTTTTTTTAATTAAAAGAGCAATCGTACCCTTACTTATGTCTGTGTTTATTTTCCAACCAGCACCCAGCTGCTGGCTGTGTCCATGGACATTCTTTTGGCATTTAGAAAGGTAATGCATCTGACTCAAATATAGGGGGGAAAAAATCTAGCTTGGATCACGTGCCAAAACGTAAACTAAGCTTTACTGAAAGTTTCTAGTTCACTCCAATCATTTCTCCTCTTTTTAATCACCAGGGGAAGGCTTTATGGATGCATACTCCATTAAAAAGATACATTGTTTTCATTCCTTTCGTAGGCTCTTCTTGCATAGCTGCCCTTTGTCTAATATCACACCATGGTAGGAGCCCTCTGGTGATACTGCCATGGTTCAATCCCTTCCTTTGTGTCTTGCCCTGGTAATCTTATACAGGCTGAAATTTCCATGTGCGTAGCTTTCTGTTGCCATTCTCCAGTGCTGTGTTCCTGATTTGTTTTGGCAGAGCAAGCTTGAGTCTTTATGGCACAGTGAAATATTCTTCGATGCTATATAATTCAGACTGAATAAGGAGTCTGTATAAGGCACGTGTCTCAATATATATGTATATAAAAACACCAACATTGTTAATTCAAGTCAAGCATCTTTTACATTTATCTTCTGTCTTAAAGTAACACTTTGTTTTTATGCTCCCTTTCTTTGGCTTCATTGGGAATCACTCCGTTTTCCATGTCTGAGTGCTGCTGGATGCACTTGGTCAGAACTGCAGTGCTAGAAGTGTTCTTGGAATTATGCATCTTCTCTGTCCCCTCCTCCTTTTTTTCTTCATCCAAGGAATAGTTTCTGAAGGTCTCATAAATTTTATGCATATCCTCAGGCATGGTCTTTTTGAGATCTTTGTTTTTCCGTTTGGTCATCTTAGCAGACGATCCAAATTTGTTAATGATGTTGTCCTCAGATGCCCCCTGCCCGTGCTTGTTGAGCTTATCTGACCCTTTAAGGCGCAGGTTGTTAGGCCTGTTGTTGATGCTTTCCTGAGAGGAGGCCTTGAAGCGTCCTGTTTCCAAGGTAGCAAAGACAGAGCGCTTCTCTGGAGAGAGCATGTCTAAGGAGTGGGCTCGCTGGTCCAGGCCCAGGCGCCTGCGCTCCATGCTCCGGATGGTGGCTGCCCTTTGAAGTTTGTCATGGATCTCCACGCTGAGCCGCCTCCGTGTCTCTCTGAACTCAGCTGTCACGTTTGCTTTCCACTCTGCTGCGTGGGCTTTTATTTCTCCAACCTTTAGAAACATGAAGAAAGAGAAATTAACTTTTTAAGAAAAAGGAAAATCTTTCCTGTAGAACACAGCACAAGTGCTTTCTTCTCTGGCATGAAACTGAAGAGTTGTCCCATCTCCACTGCATCCATCTGGACCCAAACTTCATTAGCAAAGGGCTTACACTGGGCAAACTCTGAACACACCAACTGATGGCTTTTGTGGCATAGAAATCATCTGTCTGTCACTTTGCCACTCCACACATTTCATAGCTGTGTTACATGATGGGACATGTTCATGCTAATCCATCCTTGATTAAGAACAAAATTCCTGACTCATAATGTCAGCAGTAGATGGTCAAGAGTGGGCAAAGTTAATCACTTATAGTTAAACCAATACACTTCAGAACAGCACAACAACCAGTGCAGCAGTACAGGAATGTGTTTTCCTGTATTGCTCATGGATGAAGCTAAGTCCCACTGAAGGTTCTCTTCAGAGCCACAGAGTGACAGAATAGATAATGTTAAATACTCATTAGGTAATTTCAAGTGGTCTTCTAACTTCTCCAGAATGGGGTTCATTTTGAGGGACAAATGTAGCTGCCTTTAATGGAGGTTTCCATTGCACAACTGTCCAAATGCCACACTGTCAAGCCATCTGGAGGAGTTTTGAATACCCATACTGTATGAGCATATACTTGAATGTCCTACTGTCTTTCTCTGTTTTACTCCTTTGCACTGCAGGCTGGAATAATGGCTAAGAATAAATCACCAAATGATGGCTGTATTCAATAAACATGCTTATAAACATTCTCATAAAATGAGAAATTCATTATAAATGACCAAGCAATATTTCAGTTAAAACAGTTCTTTCTCAAGATCTGTTTGATCTGTGTGCTCAAAGTTCAGCTTTGAGAAAGCTGAAAGAAAGCCATGGTCAATGGTTTGCTTGTGCTGCTGCAGCCTGAACTCAAATTTTTGCATCCAATAACCCATAAGGAGTCATTTTTTTTCTGCAGGCCAGATGTGCATGTGTCCCTTTAGCACTGTGGCAGAAGGCATCTTGCATCCACGTGGGAGACCAGGTTCCCTGCAGTAGGTGCCTGATGATCAATGGAACAGTCACAATCTCTGTAGTCACCTTTATTAATGAGATGCATGGGGGATGCACCAGGCCTTGGGTGGTGCAGATGCCTTCAAAAATTAGAAACAGCACTACACACCTGCCAAATTTTGCCTGCTATTTTGTTAACCCTGCCAGGTAAGCTTTATATATATGTACGTGTATATATATATATATAAAACTAACATCCTCCACCACAGGCTTCAGCTCTAGAGTCATGGCAATTGCCTTTCTATTTTCCACACTTTTTTGGGTGAAGCATTAGCAGTATCCTCTTTGAATCACGGAGGGCATGTTCTGAGTGAATTTAGTCATGCTCTCCTTGATGCTGATTACTCAGTTTCTTCAATTTTTAAAAACAGAGTACACAGTAAGTGGCCTGAATTTAAACTTCTATTCAGAACCATATTCTCTGCAGTAGAAAAAGTCAGGGAAATCTCCTAATTTTTGAGGAATTTTTTAGTACAGTTTCATAGCTAGCTTCAGAGTAAAGGCTGGCATCTCATTCCATAATTGCAATGCTACTGATGTGTTCTGTGTATTTTTGAGTACTGATAGAGGTGTAACAGCCTTGGTTGCTTCTGTTACTTTTTCTCTTATTTTTATCTTCCTTTGTGAAGGAGCTAAAGTTCAGAGCTAACTGTACACCAAAGGCAGTCAGTGAAGTAAACAACAGGGCATATTGAGCATTATTCATGCAGAGCAGCATTCTTAGTTAGATAAGCAGGATTCAGGTACTTAAATCTCTCTTGTAAAAAGACAAACCACTGAGAAATTACTGATCATACCTCTTCTTGTGTCTTCTTGGACAGGACTCTTAACCAGTCTCCAATCATACTCAGGACAGCAGCAAAGTAGGCAAGGCCGACAAGGATCCAGAACCACACTAAGGGCTTATACCACTCCTTGTATTTGATATCAGCATTTCCTCCTGAAATAAGCATATACTTATGCTTACAAATCATGAGGTCCCAAAACAACTACAAAATATCTGCAATTCTGAAAAATGCCTAGAAGTATTTCTTAGCTCTTGTCAACAGCATTGTAGTTCTGATAATAAGACAAGAAGCTGGTCAGATGAGAGGAACTCAGTCTGTTTTAATTTAAAAGTCTTCACACCTACCTATTGTTCTGCTGCTATCTGACCTGCCAGAACATCCAGTAAACACTTTCCTTTGTATTGCTCATGTGCTGAAGCAGCTCTGAAATTCTACTTTAATAGTACTTGCAACAGCACAAACACATGTCCAAGAAAAAGGTTTAATACAGCTAGTCTGCCTTATTCTGAACTGCCTGAAGCTTCACAGTTGAGAAAATTTACAAATCAACCGGCTTATGTTGTAGAGTTTCCAGATTTTTTTGGGTTTAGCTGCAGGATTGAGAGATCTGTGTGCAGAAAAAAGAAATGTAGCTTTGTCTTCCAAATCAGGATGTCTGACAGGAAGCCACGCATTAGCCCTGAAAATGAGGCTATGCAGTCTGCTTGGGTATCGTTCAGAAGGATGCATTCTCTGGTCAGTGACTTCATAAAAGATATGGATCAAGTCAAGCAACAAATATACTATATTGTTCTTTATGCAAGTCTTTGGATGAGCTGGCAAAACAAGAAATGAGCCATTTGGAAACTTATGGACTACAAAGTAAGTAGCAGCCAGGTTGCTGGTTACTACAGCGTAAAATAAAGAAATTTTTAAAAAAGAAAGCAAAGACAACCTCACCTTTTAGACTCTCAGTCCCATCACAGTGTTATGTGCACTGCAAGAATGAGAGCCAGTAAGAGGCAGGCACAGCCCTGAGTGGAAGAGAATGAGCAGCAAAGAGCCTGAAGAGCCCCATGGGCACTGCCATATCCCTCAATGCAAGTGAACATCACCTTGGTGGTAGCTGTGTAAACCCCTGCCCGAAAAACAAGCCTACCAGGAGACTCAGGCAGAGGTCTGCATATTTCCTGGGCTCCAGCCTTGCTTAGAAAGAGCTAGACACCTATACCTCTGTATTACTGCAGAGAGATTTTAGGGGTTTTCCCTGTTAAAATCACCAGACAACACAGTTCAGCATTTTCCCTTTTGCTTTTCACAATCTGAGACACTTCTATGACTCTTTAATTTTATCAAGACTCAATACGAGTGTAGTTACAGCGTTTGAACACCCCCGTGGAAGGTCAGACATTTGAGAATTGGCAGGAACCCAAATATAGCTTTTGATGTTAATCTCTCCCCATAGACTGCATGAATCACACTCTTTTTTTCCAGTCTTTAAGAGTCTGAAACAATGGGAGGTAGGGACTGCTGTTGCTATGGTAGAAGAAGCCTCTTCTGATCATACATGTCCCTGAGGAAGCTCACTAGGAAACAGATTGTCTGGATCTATCTTGCAGAGTAATCAGGTGACTGAGAAAGTATGAGACCACTTTTTTTTCAGCCTATCAGATACTCTGTTTTTTCTGGCTCCATGCACAATTTTATATCCAACTGTAGTACAAAAACCTTCCAGTTTCCCAAGAGCTGGGATTTGTTTTAGGTGGAATAAGCCAGCATAGCTCCACTGATGCTGTTTCAACCATTAAGATATAGTATTTTTGATTTGCTGTTGAAGGAACAGAGATACTGAGAGATTAAAGCGGCAGAAAATAAAAGGGGCAGAAAATCTCTCTCAAAACCAGCAATAAACCCCAGATCTCCTGGTGATCACCTGCCTTAAACTCTCATCATGAAAATGCCTCTGAAGCTGCCTTATTCAGGATCTTCCATATGATTTTTGAGAAATCCTGCTTGTTAGTAGCCACCCAGCTGTGGATTATATTCTCCTAATCATGTGATTATAGAACAATTTAATATTCAGAGCTTTTTTACAATCACATTATTAAACAATACTGAAATGTGCTATTATTAAGAAAAATATTGTAAATTATTTTTATTTCCCACTGTGATACCTCAAAGAATATCAGTGAATCCCTTTACACTAAGTGGTTAAAATGGAGCAAGCTCACACAATGACTTCTGTAGCTAAATGCTCGTAAAACTTTCTTTTTTATATCTGGGTCTTTCTTTGTTCAATGACTTTTTTTTCTCAATAATTCATGTCTTCTATGCCAGTATGTCATAAAAAAGGAGGACAAGTCTTTACAAAAGAGACTTGTCTACTGTTCTTCAACAAAGAAAGGTTTTTAGTTTTATTTGATTTTTTTTAACTCATTCTGTTTATAGGTATGAAGAAGTACAATATGACTGTTTTTAACACAAGCAATGACTGTTTTTAACACAGGAAACTTAATACCTTTAATTAGGACCACTAACATGAATGAGAACTAGAGGTCAGGCACTGATGGGAAAAGAATCCACTTATTTTAACCACCTTTTTTGTTAGCAAAGCAGTTGTGTGGAAAAAATAAAAAATTACCTCTCTCCTCCCCAGCCAACTATCTCAATTCCCTCTTTGGAAATTGTATATGGGTAGATATTTATAGTTCCAGCTCATACTGTGTTAATCTCCTCCAAGCACTGAGATACATACCCCATTAGTCCTTCTCTCCTACAAGAGTTTTTCTTAACAGGGCAACTGCAATGTCAAAATTTCTGCCAAGGTTAGGAAACAGAATGCAGGTTTTGAAATGCTACAGCTCCTGTAGCAGCAGCCCACTACTGCATCTGACCAGAGAATTCTACAGACCTATGGCTCAGTCGTCCTTTGTAAGAGCTTCCTCCATTCATCATTTGACTTGCCCCTGCAGTCATCCTCAGACTGAGCAGTAATGGACTAATACAAATCTTTAATTCAATGGGAAAGTAATTTTACTTTTACATAATTCATTGCATGATAAAGGATAATCAGGACTTTCCAGGCTCCCGTTATCTACACTGCTGAAGGCTCACAATCTACAGATGTCAAGGCACCTAGACCTTAAATCAGCCTGATGTTGTACTGCACAGTAATCCCAACAGAAACACTGGAATCCCATCATTTCACTGGAATATAACACACTGTGAAGAGCCTCCTCTCTATACCAGAAAACAAATTCTGAGAGCCAAGGTCTTGTGCACCTTGAGCACCTTGGCTCAAAGCTGCTCACCTGCTACAAAGTCACCGAAGCCAACAGTGGTCAGGGTAACAACTACAAAGTAAATGGACTCCAAGGCTGTCCATCCCTCGATGTATTTGAAGATAAAGGCAGGAATGGTCACAAAGACGATGCAGCCTACCAGGATGAAGGCGATGGTGGAGATCACCCGGATCTTTGTTTGACTCACTTGTTTATTCTAGAAAAAGGAAATAACAGGAAGAAAAATGTTTGAGTGGATTTCTGGAACTGTATTCTTTGTGAATGACACAGTGATTATGCTGGTGTCACTTGGCATGTCCTTTTCTGCCTTTTGTGAGCTGGTTGGGTGAAATACAACCCTCTCTCCCTGTTAATGAGAGTCCTGTCCAGGTAATAGTACACCCCCATGCGTGGCCCCAGTTTATCATGGTTCCCATTTTCCGTGCACTAGGAAGTGACTAATTTACCAGAAACACCACCTGGAAAAACATACCTGAGCTTCAGAAAGGTATCAATATGCTCCATATCAGGTTCAATGCTTAAGAAAAAGTGAACATTCACACATCCATGCAAGTATGTGTACTTGCCCACATTGCCTCACCAGCACCAAGCATTCAAAGAGGACCAAGATTAAAATGAAAATAAACCCCTTTTCCCCCACTGAAAAGCTGCAATTTTATGTAGAAATAATTCATGTTTTGGATTTTCTAGACCCAGGATTTCCAGCTTTCATTCACAAATATAAAGGTTAAATCTCCTTTTTAAAAATAGAAAGCTGTATTATTGGTTTACTCCAGAAAATAAAAAAAGGATTTATGTCAAATACCAAAGAGCACGAAATAAAATTACCTACATAAATCCACACTGGAAATCTCTTGAACAGAGTATATCTTACTGGCTTCTATAAACTGAATTAAAATCTAGTCAGTGTAATTGTAATATTTTACACTACTAAATCATATAAACTCTCAATATATTTAATATATACTTAGATTTTGCTTCTATTAATATTGATGCAAGACTGGATTAACACAATTTGATCTGACAGATTTATTTCAGATTTTCTCTGCTGTGAATAAACTCAGCATCCAATAAAGTTTCATGAGAAACCTGTAAATTACTAGAAACCTTACTGTGGATTAATTTCAGAACCAGCGTAAATTCTGTATTTACCCTGGAAAAGTAATGTGGAGGTCACTGTAAGGCATATTTCCAAATTAGTTTTCCAAACCAAGCATCTCCATTAACCCAAAAAAGAGATCTCATTTCAGATTAAGGCATTGCCTAGACAGGAAATAAGATCTCAGAAGTTATCTTTGTAATATACAGAAGGGATATTGCCTGAACTGGTTAATACCTCACCAGCTTGGGAACAATACTGTGCTTTCCCTAAAATGAGAGCATTTCTTCTAGAGGTGCAGTGTCAGACCCTCTTAAGTACTCCGCTGATCTGGGATGCATTCAGAAGCAGGTAGCATAAAATGCCATGTTGCATAGATACTTTAAGTTCTAAAACTGGTTAAGATGATCCTTACACTTAATATTTATTTGTGTGTGAGCGCACTATTTTCTGTGTCTGGATGAATAGAAATAGCTCCATAAGATTAGTAATCTAATGCCAAATATAAGACATGGAAGAAACTGCCAAGGAGCAAGAGGAAAAGCAAAACAAAAATATAAAATCGGAATTAATTCCTTATTGCCTCTTTTTCCAAAGAGCCATTTTGAGTATTTTGCTAAAACACCAAAGGACAATCCATCTTCTTTAAGAAGTATGAACACACATTCACAATGGCATGACTTCAGACTCAATGAAAGGAAAGTGAAAGGAAAAGAACAGATCACATGGATGTTACATATCCTACATTGTCACCCTTGCCTTTTGTCGTTGAGAATGAGGATTTAACCAAATTGACATCTATTTTCTAGTCTGACCAAGGCAACTTGTTTACTTCTACTAAATGCTTCAGTTTCCTGAAGTTATGCATAGTAATTCTTCCTCCAGTCCCCACGTAGCAAAAATTAAAATGCATTTCAATATGAGTCAGAATTGTCTCATGAGAGAGACAGGAACAAAAATAATTGCCTTAAAATCAGTAAAAAATGTTCAGGACATCCCCTTGTCCATGAGCAATAAACTCAGCCAAGGGTTGTTGGTTTTTTTAAGCAAAAATGGTAACAATGTTAATGAAAGGATCTGTAAAAGGCTGGACTCATGGTTATTGTGCACCTTTGTCACTCACACAAAAGCAGAGCAGCTGAGGATACAAATGAAGGCAGAAAGCAATGGTGAAATCAGGAACAGCGTTTTTAGAGCTGCTGAAAAGAGCACAAAAGCAGGACTCAGAAAAATAATTACTTAATGAACAATAACACATGAAATGCAGGATAGACGTGAAAAGGGGGATCTTTTTACAGTTGGGCATGCATTCAGAGGAAATTCACAGTACAGTCTAACTGCTAAAGATGAAAAAAATGCTAAGACATAATTGTACTTACTAATGGAATATGTACATTGTAATAATGACATACTACAAAAGTATTTTCAGCTTGGAGCCAAACATTATCAAATAGCTGAGCACGTTCTGCCAAGCTAAGAAATCATCTGAACCCATTTTGTGGCATGAACACAGAATTTTCTATAAGTATCATAAAGAAATAATAAGAAACCCCTTCCTCCAGGAAAGGTAGCTAATCTTATAGCTGTTCAAGTAAAATTAGAGCACCTTTAAAAGAGATGTTTTCCTCTCTTTTTCTTTTTAAGTTTGTTTACCCACAAGCTCTTTCCCCAGTGATGAAGCAGATAATTTGTAAAACATTCTTCAAATATAAATAAATTAGTGCCTGCTAATGAGACCAATTTAATTCCACCTAGAACTAATCTGTAAAACATCAAAGAAGTAATCTAAGAATCTAAGAACTGAGAGTTTTCTGTGAACCCATCAAGGTCATTTCCATTTTCCAATGACAGTGCTGATTTTACTCTTAAGGTGGTTAAGTGCTAAACTGGCAACATTACTGATGGCATTTTGCTTACATGAATTCAAACAACCTACAGTCAATCTTCTCTACTGCCAAGAGGGGTAAAGACAGACAGTAATGAGTGGAATTTATCAGTGGAATTTAGTTCTTATCCATCTTTTCCATCAATTACTGCAGCTTCATTTTTTCCTCATTTCCTATTATATATACAGGGGTTTTAGTAATTTTGGTATTACCTAGTAATTTAAGGACTTAAAATAAACCTTGAGTTTTTGACTTTCTTTTTTCTCTCTCTAGCCCAATAGATCAAAGCCAGTGTCATGGATTATTTTATGTCTCCTGCTTTCTTCAGGTGAATTAACTGAGGTACAATTTTTCTGACCTGATGGCTGACAATAAAAGCTCCAAACAGTGCTTTTAAGTTTGCAAACTGAGACCACAGGGTTGATATATATTCCTAGGAAAAAGGAGCATGAGACATTAAAGAGGAAATCAAAAGAAGCTACAGTCATTTATCAGAGTAGAGTAAATGCTAAATATGTAGAACATATATATTTCCATGAACAGCATATTCCATATAAGCTTATTCCAAGATTCTGTAGTGTCACCTTGTATTTCATAGAAAGCTTCCCCAGTATACAGTACTAGTAAACCAAAAATAGCACTGGAACACTTGCTGCTTCACAGTGAGTTCAGATGGTTTTTTCATCTTCCAAACTCTTCCTTCTCTGAATTCCTGACAAATCTCCCCAAGGCTCTGGGCAAGCTGGCTACCTTTTTGGCTAGATGACCAATGGGAATTTTTTAGGGATAATGTAATAAACCTGCATGGAAAATGCTGTCCTCACCTCTCCAAAAGGCTCTGTATTTTGGAGCAGAGAAAACACATTTCAAACAAAACACATTTCTTTAATATTTCTTTTGTTCCCTTCACTTACTCTTAACTTTGTGTCCTTCCCCATGCTGCCAGCTATTCTCAGAACAGATTGTCTCTGCCCATGCACTAATTAAACAGCTTGTCTTCTAAATCACTTTCTCCCAACCAAAATATTTTAACACTAGGAATGACAGTCTTTGTACTAAAGCCATAAACCAGAATATCACATATATCATCTGACAAACATTTGATATGTCCTTAGTCAAAATACGTTTGCAAAGCTAGTGTAGATGGAGCAGGCAGTCATAGGTTCATGCTGCTTGTCTTTCAGCTTAGCCAAATGCAAGCCAGTCCTGGTCCAGAGCCTGGCACACACCTCAACAGGTGGCCTGGCCCTTCTCAACAGGCTATGTGGAAAGACTGGCACACCACTGGCTCACAGAGCTCCTTGGTCATCAGTGATTTGGTCACATCAACCTCTTTGCTGCCTGTAACTGTCACTGTGGATTTCATCTTAACTTGTCCTAGCTCCTTCATGTCCAAAATGAGACTGAAACTAAATGTATTGTAAATATCAGTGACTTGGACATAACACCTAAGAACAATATAAGAATGTTTTGTTCTTTGTTCTCTGACACTGCTGGCTCCTGTTAGCTCCAACAGACCTACCTCAGGGCATTGCTGAACCCCTGAAATGACATGGTGGCACCTCTGGGAAAGCATGTTTAAGAAAGGGCAGAAATGCTGGACAGGCAGAAGACAATGAAACACAGAGAACAAAGGAATAACAAGGTCAGGTGAGTGGTAGCTTCTCCATGGCAATGCAGGTACTACAGGGTCTGCAGCCCATGGAGGACCAGCAAAGGAACAGAGGAGAAGAGTTAAGAACAGCAGAGAAACCACTGTGTACTGACCCAACCCCTGTGTCCTTTGCTGCTGCACCAGCGGGATTGAACGTGACCCACAGTAACATGGGTGGAGGAGGGGTTTCTGCAGTGAAGTGAGCCTAGGAGTTGAAGCAGAGCTTGCAAAATGGGGAAGAAAGGCATTTTAGACATTTGTGAGGATTTTGTTTCCAAACATTCAACTCACTAATAAAGTTTTTATGCTAATTGTCAATAAATTCATTTAAATCACACAAGTTTGTTTTGCCTGTGAGAGTAGACGGTAAGTGACTTTGCTGTCTTTATGTGACCCACAAGGTTTCTCAGAGAGCACTCTATTGCTCTTTCCATGTTCTCTCCATCATTGTAGGCAAGTGAGCAAACAGCCATGCTTGCTGCCAGCCAGGACCTACTCACCACACCAGCGAAGAAGACAACACTCCTTGAAAACAAGCGCCAGAGTTATAATATGTA